CGGAAGTCCTAGGGTTCGACTCCCAACGCTGCCGGATTTTCTACATTACTGTCACTGCTGTGCCGAATTCAACCCCTGTCTGGAAAATTCTCGCGGTCGGCTGCTCTCATCGGTAGCTCTTTTGGGATTTCTCCGAGTGAAACCAGAGAAATGCTGGATCAGTACCTCAACAAACTGGCCATGGACCACCCACTACCACATATGTCTACCATACACTACCAAATATGTCAAGAGACCAAAAGGGATCTGAAAGCATATCCCAGCTGAGGTGGGGGACATATGTAGAGAAAGAATCGCCCAGCAAGCCGAAGTGTAGGTCGGTACCGAATCTCACGTTCCAGCAGAAAGGGATACCTGCCAGGATATAACTTGCGCTTGCGGAAAGAATGACCAGAGCAGTTTACGCACACATCAATCCCAACGAAGACGTCGGCACACAATTCCAGCTCTTCTGAGCAGGCGAGATCGCCCAGGCATACGCGCGTTAACAGGTTTGCGAATCCGAAACACACCTTGGGCATGAATTGTTTGCTGTGCGCTGTGCCGCGGAGGGATTCTCCCGACCTCCCTGTATCGCTTTCCAACCCGAGTGCTTCTCTTCCTGGCCAGTCCAGGCGTAGGAAGTTGGGACGTTTGCGCCCGAGATCACGTTTCATCTGGGTTGTGGTTTCGAAATCCGCGTACGGCATAGACGTGGAATTCCTAGCATATCATTTATCACCTGTGCGCCTCAAACCCTTTCCTTAATGCCTTCTCCTTTGCCGGTTTGAGGGGGGATGAGACCAGGTGAGTGAGTAAGGTCTTTCGAACTGTAGCGTCTGCGCAACGCAAGCGTAGCGTTGCTCCCATCCTATTACACACGACCTACCGCTTACGTCTAAACGTAAAGGTTTAAATTTAGTGTATATATTGCTGAAAACGTCCGAAGCTAACAGCTATTTCTCTAATGAAGTGGAGAAATTTAGATAGAACTCCGATAGTTTATTAAAATTCAATGATTTTTGCTGGTGCTTCTAAACGATGAAATAAAATTCAACTGTCTAGTCTACTCTTTCACGCAGACGATGGAAATCCATTGGCATGGTGTTTGGCAACTTCATGGCTTTGGGGAGTATTTACACACCGTTAAATAAAAACAAACAAG